CTTCACGTTGGGCTTTTTCTTCCCTCATTATCAAAGCAAAATGTTTGAACCCATCTCTTCATCTTCCCCCCACCCCTGCACCCCAGTCTATTTCATCTTTGAAGGAAACTGGCTAGTTTTCCAAACAATCCAAGGACTTCAGTCATATTCCAATTATTGAAAATGAAATCCCACCTAGTCTAATTAAAATAATAGGCAGGACTATCAAAAAAGTGCAGACATACCAATAAGGTCGCATTCAATTCAGATTATTCAAATTATTGACCAGGGAATATGATGTACAAGAACTACAACATTTATAACAACAATTAAAGTATGAAACTACAGAAACCACAGAAAGAATCACAAGCAGCTGTAATATGCAAAATCTAACTCCTTTTAAACACAACTATACTTCCAGTGGTTGTGTTCTCAACACCTTACACAGTTCAGAGTCTTGAAGAAATAAATATGAGTGTGTACATGTCAAGTACCTGTGTAAGTGGCTATTGACAGACTAAAGCCTGAATTCAGGCAAGTCAAAACAGCATAATGTTGCAGGAAACAATCAAGGAATTAACACTAGGTAAGAAAGCATAAGTACTCCTGGGAGAGGAGACAACATTAAAGGTAAACAATGACACCTGAAGGACTCTGCCCATAGAGAGAAAGATGACCAAAAAACCCAATGTGGATATAAGATGAAAGGACAAAGAAGCACAAAGTAAGCCAGTAATCCAGTAGAAATGAGACTATACACTGAATTTGCTGTTGAGTGTAGACAAAAACAGTAGACATCGTTGAGAGAGAGTGAGTTAGGATAGAAAAAAATCAAGACAACAAAAATACTATTTCTAGCAAAAGCAAAGACACCAAACACAAGAATTAGAGAAATCAAGATGAAAGCCACATGTCCTAAAAAGGGGTTTCAAGCTTATTCGTAAGCAAGACAATTTTGAGGCTACTTCGAAGAAAGAAATTAAAAAAAAAAAAAACAACATACTACATATGGAAGAGTTCAGCAATAGCAGAATTATAAACATGGGCGGTGGAAATGGCTTAAGAACAAACCTGAAACACGCAGGCCACAGAAGGGAAAATTACTTTTGGAGGTGAACTAAAGACACCAGATAGACCAAAAAATATTAGGCTGGATCAGGTTACATAAAAAACAGATAAATAGACAGGAAACAAGTGCAGCAAACATGAATGAAACACTGTAAGGGCAGGGAAAGAAGAGGAAGACAGCAAGAAAATAAGTTTGGTTTGGCTTGCCTTTTTTTTCCTTTTTAAATTTAAATATGAGAGCACAATGTTATGAAAATACAGAAGAAAAATCAGAGAGGTTTGTTAATCAGTAAGACATAAGAAACACACCTTTGACTTTGCTAAGTGGTGACCATTTGGGTGGGTTCAGTGAAGTGGAAAAAGAAAATCTAGTTTGGAAGATTAAGAAACAGATTGTATGAGTAAACAGCGTATCAGTACTCAAGTCAAAGAGAAGGCCACGGTTAGAAAGGGCCACGAGAATTTCAGGCAAACACCCTAAGGTAGGAGCGCAACTGGCCTATTTCAGAGCAAAATGTAGCAAAGCCATCAGAGAAAAAGTATGTAAAGGAAGAGGATGCTGAGTATGACTGAAAATGAAAGGCTGAAAGACAGGTTTGTAGATGAAAAAAATGTAGACAAGGGAAGTTTCAGAATCATGAAAGTAAAGATCCATGTTTAAGAAAAAAAGTTATGATAAGTTGTGCAGGTACTGACACTATAGAAGTAATAGCACACAATAATGTAATGTTTTTCATTTATAGCTATTAGTTTAACTGGAACAAAATAAATGAGCTAGAATAAAGCCTTTATAGCACGCTGTCCTACACAATTCTCAGTTTGCAGGCAGTGGAGCATTACCACATGCAAGTTTCTAGTTTTAAGCTAGGAAGCCCTACGTTCTACTTCATGTCCTCTCATGTGAGGAATGAAGAAACAGTATTTAAACACAAAACAGGATTAAGAACTTCCCTCTGTAATATCTGATCATTGTGCAAGGACACACACTGTCCATCTGCAACTTAGTCTACACATTTTTCTGCTTCTAAACACACTCCCTCTATTCCAGCAGTCATATCTGTTCATGGTTTCATTCCTCTTCAGACTCCCCTGAGAACTGTATGTCTGATACTTTAATATACAGCAATCTAGATAAGCAATGAACAGAGAAGATGGATTGACACTATAACTAAGAATCTTTTGAAGCATCCCTATAAAGTCTAAAGTTCGTTTTTTCTGAGGACTTTTCTTAAGCATTCCAATATACAATACCCCTAACATAGTGCTCCCCAAATTTAACTTCAAACTTGAAAAAAAGTTTTTTCTACTCTTCTGTGATTTCTAGAACATTTTAACAGAGCTACAAGACACATTAAATATTTGCATTACTCATCTTGCTCTCCTTGCAGACACATCTCTCTAGTTTCAGTTCTGCTGATGCTACTTTTAATTACCCTTCTGCAAAAACTGAACAAGCCACACTGAACAGGAGCATCTGAAGCAGGAAGCACAGATGACCACCAATACAGCAAGACCAGCAACACAGAAAGCACTATGAAAATGCACTAGGTAAACACCATATTTATTTCCTAACTAAACTGTTCTCCTCCACAGGCTTTTGCAGGATTGTTTTCCCCCCAGTTGATCAATGTCCCCTGAAACAAATAAAGCTACAGCATGTTATTTTTCTGAAAACTATGCTATAATTACTTTTACAAAGGTTAAAATCCAGCCTCCTTAGAAATCTGCTGGCAAGTCCTAATCAACATATTTGATACTGTAATTGTAGCCTGAAATAGAGTTAGGCAGGCAGTTCAAGCTCCCAGAGAAATGAGGAAGGACACCTGAAACTTTTTTTTGTTTGTTTCAGATATGTAGAGAAATACAAGGCTGAAATGCAACTTAAAAGCACTATTAAAAATAAGGAAACTTCCATTTAATTCTAGTAAATACACCACTCAATAAGAAAAGCAATAAATAATCCCAAGATATTTCTCCTTTTTCATTAAAGAAGTGCAACAGTTAATAGAGACTACTAACTACAGAACTATCACAAGAACAAACTATACAGTGCCCTGAAGTTGAAAGCCAGGAACCAGTCAAGGAAAGACATTTTAAGCAGGCTGTGGGATACCAAAGGAAAGGGAAGCTTTAACACTGTTCAATCTCAAAGGCATACCCAGTAGCTTCAAAGTTTTCAACTGGAAAAAACAGGCAGCTATATGCATGACAGTACACATAAGAACACAGCTTACCTTTTTTTTTTTTTCCACAATACAAAATGAGCTATAATGAGCTATATATTAATACTAGAATATTTAATATGCTTGCAACAGTCATCAGATTTAAGAGAAAAAAGTCATGGCAGGACACTTTGCTGTCAAATAGAGGGCGAAGGGAAGATATTGCCATTTGTGCACTGGCTGTAAAACAACTTATAAAAGATGAATCCACCACACATAAAGCTGTTCCCTGACCAGTTTGGTGCCTGCAAACATGCGCTCATTGAGCAGTCATTTACTGGTAGCATCAGCTGCAGGAAAGCATAAACTGAATCAAAGCCAAACAAAAGAGGAAAACTGATCGTGAAATCCTCATCAGTTTTGCAATAGTTTAGGCTCAGCATATAAGTAGTTTCTTACACTATAACAAGAACTTGAACTAAACTCTTCTTTCCTTTCTTTTCAAAAGAACAGAAAGGAAAAAGAAAAACAAGCGTGAATGTATTTGTTTTCATCTTTAAGACAGAAGACAGGAAATATGCAGATGTAAAGAGGAGTTGATACAGAAAGAAAAAGCAGCCCCTAAAATGGCTGCAAAAAAGTGCACCTAACTTGCATGGTAGAAAAAAAAAAAAAAAAGTTGACCCAAATAACTCTTCAGGAAGGAACTAACATGCTGAACCACATTTTGGTAGCACGTAAAGTCATTATGAAATCTTGCTTGCCAACTAATTTGTAAAAATATGGAAGATACAGCTAAGTTATGAGATTGAGGAAAAAAGATACACAAGCATATGCAAATGTGAGTTCATATAATGTTTGCATTTACGCTCTTTCAAGCTATTAAGTGAAAAAGAATTATCTAATAAAACTAATCAACCAGAAACACCAATCACAACAATGAAAGACATAGAAAAAACAATTGCCTACAAAATAATCTGCCTTCAACTCTCTCTCAGCCACCCCTGGCCTTCAGGTAAAAGAGCAATTATTCTTCATTATTTTATGAAACAACATTAACTACTCTTCAGGTTGCTTAGTAGGATCTAACCTACCTAATCTAAATAAAGATAAAACCTGGATGCAAAACCAGCAAGATCAATGTTATTTCCTTCCTAGAGAGTCAGAACTTGCTACAGCTTAACCAAGACACATTTGAAAAGTACGCTCAGATTTTATTTTTTGGTCAACCCTCTCTTAATAGAAATTATGCTGATAATAGTCCTCTCACGAAAGAGTACCGCATCTATTCCATGTTTGTTGGGAGTCTTAACTATTGACTAGAAACAAAAATAAAAGCTAATATCACCCAAGTCTGCAGGCCTGCAGCGCACTTCTGTAGCCACAACTGGTCCTTTCATTACAGCTGGCTATATGGTTGCAAGAATACCCCTTAACAGTAGTTAGCATAAACTAGTAAAACCCTAAGATATCAGTGACAATCACTGAAAGGAAAAAAACATATTCTCCATACTGTGGAAACTAATTCTTGCAGAAAATTTACTGCTACATCTTCTTTTACAAGATTTCACAAACAAGAAAGTAACAGGAAGGTTTACCCCTTTTAAATTAAAAGCTTCTATCTTGGAGTCAGCAAAATTTCTTTGTGCATAACTGCAAATACCTAACATGGATCTTTGTCACAGTACCAAACTTCTTGGCATGTTCCAGTCACACATTGTTATTATTACTAAGCAGTCTGTTACAAAACAGCTGTTGCCATCAGCAGAACAGGGTAGTGTTATATCATACCTTCTGGTAAACTATAGAGCACACGAGGTCTTTAACAGCAGAGAGGGACAGGTCCTGAGCTTCAATGGTGACAGTCTCTCGAGTGAGACCAATCTGCAGAAGGAAGGAGACCCCATGCATAGAGCCCCGGGAGTTGGTGAGGCTCTGCGTACTGAAACTGCCATTGGAGAGTCGACTGGAGAGCCCCGACTGGGGACTTGAAGACAAAGCTGGGGTTTGTGGTGCAGCAACATGACAAGTAGGTGGGGAAAACTTCTGTAAGGATGGGGGAGAAGAGTCGTTTGCTGACATCTGACTTGCTTTCCTCTGGTGAGATCTCCCTAGTAGTCAAATTCTAAGAAAAATACGTTGTCAGTTCTTGGTTTGAAATGAAAACAAGGATAATGTAACTTTCCCTTTCTTAGTTCAGTAAAACACCCCTGATCAGTAAAACTTAATTTTCCCTTTCATTCTGTGCAAGCCAAAGAGTAAAATAATTTCAGCTGTTACTTCAAAATAAAGGTTCTCTTTACGCAGTTACAATCAGCTGATCAAAAGCAGATTGCCTGTCCTTTAGCACCACGTCCAGACAACAGAGGCTTACATAAAGGCCTCACAGAAATATATCAGCTCTGCTGTTTTATACTTGTCCTTCATTTTTATGTATTAAAAAAAAAGCTGGAAACACAGATGGAAATAAATCTTGGTAACTCATTAAAAGTATCCTTGTTCATCTAATTCCACAAATCATATATTAAATGCAGACTCATCTTCATGTAGGTAGCCTTTTAGAATGAAAAAAAAAAAAGCATATCCTTGAGCAACACCAGAGGTCCATATATGTGATGAATCTATTCCTCCTTCAGAAAGTCTTCTCTGAATTCACAGGACACAGTTAACTTGGAGACCAGTGAAGGTATCTGATTTCATTTTTATAAAATATTTTAGCTCACGAAATGCAGGAGCAGAATGTCTGAAGACACAATCACATTAAATGTAATCTCTAGCCTCACCCAGATAATCTCCAGCATTTTGAAGCTTTGTACTCCGTCTGTAGGGGAAAAGATAAAGTTGTTATTTCACATAAAATGCATAAAATTGCAGAGAAATGTCATAACTACTCTATTTTGAAACAGCAGGATGACCAATTCCTTTTACTCAAATATGTTATGTTAGTAACATTTTGTACTTATAACTTGAACTTAAATGTTTTCCTACTACATGATACGCAAGACGAATCAGACCTAACACTGCCCAATACGTTACCAACATCTTTTAATTAACCGGAACCTAGTAGGGCAAAGCACTTAACAGCTAAGAGGGGAAAAAAAAAAAATTTAAAAAGGGGGGAAAAAGAGGGGGTAGGATGGGACACAGACTAGACCACAGTTCTGCTCTGTAGGTGTATACTGAGAAGCTAGTGGATAGGGGAAGAAATTTATTAAATGCATTAAAATATCAAAAAAGAACCCATAATACCAAAACTCAAAAAACCTCTATGTAGCATGTACTCAGGATACCATTTTAATACTTTTATTCAAGACAAGCAAAGAACATCTTGCACAAACTCTAACTGCAGGAAGATATGCATAGCATACAATTGAGCATTGGTTCCTTGGGGGGAAAAAAAAAAAAAATCATTTAATGCTCACATGTCTGATTAAAAAAGCAAGTCTGCTACAACCTTTTAAAATAAATCACTCCATGAGCACAAGCTCAAAGTACTTGTTACAAGATGCTGTGCTACCCGATTCGATGTTTCAAGCATTTCATGAGCAACTGAAACACTCAAAAAAAAACCCAAATCATTTTTAGGTTCCTCATGCAACTTCTGCCACAGAAAAAGTTACCCAAGAACGCAAAAGTGGTTCAAGTACATACATACTACGTATCGCAAACAGTTTTTAAAAGAACATGGATCCATACAGGACACCAAAATAAATATAATAAACCAAAACACTTATTTTTTCCTTCCCTTACATACAAAAAAAAAAAAAAATCTCAGAAAGAGTATTACTAAGATTAAATTAAATGGAATTTTCGAAGAGATGCCACAGTTTATCACACACAATATAAACTGTCCTTACTAGAAATAAGGCTGATAACTGGTAAAACAGTCCAATTAATAGATTACATGCTCCTGGTATTTACCCATGTAATAACTCAAAACCCCACTAGCATTGCCTTTGAAAAGGCAGATAAGGAAGAGAGGTACGTGAATTGCAGTACCAGAAGGCAAATAAGCTCTTGGTTCTGTGATAAAAATTCCAAACAGGGGCTCCAGAAGACAGAACAAATTGATATCTTCTGGATTTTCAGCACAGCTATCTACAAACTGTTGTCTTCAAACACTCAAGAGCCACTGGTCATTTATCAATGACAGCTGAAAAGACAACTTCTGCATTAAAGAACGCACTAGACATGATACGGACGAAGGTCATAAATAGGAAGAATACGGGCAGCAACAGTTACATTTAAGCACCTTTCTCAAGAAAGCAGCTTCACGGTGCCTTCAACTTTGCTTGAAGATGACTTATTTTTGTTGTCTACATGTTGGTTTTCTCTCCCTCAATTGTCTTTGATACCAGAGACAGCAAATACCAAGCTTCAGAGGTGGAGCTGAATTAAAAACCAATAATGCCTAACCAACAAAAACAGAAAATGGGAAGTTCGTATGATGCAAAAGAATTAATAGGTCTCCTAAGCAAGTTTAATTTATACAGTGAAAACACAATGTGAAAGCTCACCTACAGCTGCCGAATTAGAATGTCAATTATATTTACCAAAAGCGTGCCTTATTTGCATTTACAAATCATTTTTATACCAAATGTATTTGCATATAAGCCTTTAACGAAGTTTATTTTTGCTACTCAGTACAAAAAAATGGATCTTTCTAAGAAAGGAAAACCATAGAAACTGATCACTTTGTAGTCAGGATAAACTGATTCTGAACATCAACCAAAGTAGGTGAATATTGAAATTTATATTCAATCCTGTGACTCTATATTTGCATATGTATATAAAAAACCCCTACACCTCAAAAAAGCAAAGCAGCACAAGGGTGATGAAGGGAGCCCCGCCGCCCCCTGCACAGCTCGCAGCCTACTCTTCAGCCTGCTCTCGCCGCAGAACCGCTGACCCTCCCCTTCCCTTTTGGGGCTGCTCCCAAACCGAGCAGCTTTCAGGCAGCTTCTCCCAGCATCTGGCACTTCATTCGCCCTCCTTTCCCCCTGCTAGACAACACACGGACTTCGAGCCCCGCTCCGAGCGGCTCCTCTCGCTCTTCTTAG